CACTTTTCTTCCTTGCACATAGGTGCTGACGTTCTCAACATTTCTTACTGTTTTATAGCAGCACCAAACTTTTAACATTGCTAAATTTTTAATGTTTCATTCTACCTGATTATGTGAAACAATATGGATTTAATTTCTATGTCATTGATTCATTGTGAAGACTTAGCTTTTCCTAATTAATTAGTTATTGGAGTTTCTTCATCTGTGAAATAGCTATTATCTGAGTCATTTTGCTACTCAACTCTGTTTCTTGTTTACTTATAGACATTCTTAATATATTTAGGTTATCTCTGTGTGGAACAGTTATTAAAAGTTCAGGCTTACATATCCCTCTTAATGGGGGATGTTGATGACAGTAAACTTTTAAAATGTATGATTTTGTTAATTCCTTTTAGAGTTGTGATCATGTTCAATGCTACTGCTCCCACAATGTGCTCCCAGATTCACACCTGCCCCTAACTCCTCCTGATGTCTCTTCTCTTTAAAAGATAATCAACAGAGTCCAGTTGGTCTTGGTCATATATTAATGGATGTGGTGCTGACCTACCAGGGGCTACAACCTTAAAGAACAACAAGCTCTCCTCCTAGCTCTCAGTTGTCCAGAGCTTCTCTGTCAGTGGGGGGATTGTCAACATCTTCACCATTCATGTTGTAATGTTGACTGTGATCCTGTGTGCTCTTGGGCAGGCAAACACAGAGCTACTGTGGATTCATGAGTTCAGAGGCTTGACTATTTTCCAAATACACTGCTTTCCTTTGGTGATACCCAATCTATGGCTTTTATAATTTTTTGCCCCTTTTTCAATAGTCTCAGAATCTTGAGAAGGGGCAAGATATAAAGATATCTTATATGTGGCTGAATACTCCTTTGACACTCTTTAAACTTTGATGTGTTTAACCATAGACACATTTATTATCTCCCATATTATTCTTTTTTATTTTCCCTATGTATTTATTTATTAACTTTAAGTATAACTACATCACTTTTTCTCTTCTTTTCTCTCTCCCAGTCTTTCCATATACCTACATTCTTAATCTCTCTCTGACTCATGACCTCTGACCCCTTTTTAAGTTAATTGTTGTTAGATTTGTGTATATATTATATATTTATATGTTTGTAATTATGTAAATACAGTCTGATCTGTATGCATGATGTTAACTGTACGTATATGTTTTTCAGGGCTAACCACGTCCATATATCAAATTGATGTGTTATTCTCAGAAGCTCTAAGTTGTCTGTAGTTTTTTCTAGGATTGGGACCCTATGTGATTTACCTCTCCATGTTAATTTGCTTGTTGGTATCATCCATGTTTGGGTTTTCTAGAGGCAGCCATGTTGATGAGGCCTCATAGCTGTAGTTTCACTGACATTTCTAGGAGATGCTATCTCAAAGGAGACATCTTATCTTGTCTTTTGAAGTTAAGTATCTGAGTTTCCTGAGACTGAATACTTAGATAAGGATGCATATATCCTTTTCCTCTACACATACCTCTTTCATAGCATGTTTTTTTCTCTCTTCTGTAAATAGAGCTCTAAGAATTTCACATGACAGTATTTTTTTAATTCCACTATTTTGTTCATTGTTTGTGAGACAAAATTAGTGAGAAATACTAGCAGCACACATGTTGGAGAATTTCATTTCCAGAAGCTTAGCAGTAGAAGCATAACAGCAATAGGAGTCCAAGCTATATGGTTAGGACGAACCATCCTTCAGAAAATAAATCTGTATTTATATGAATATATGTAACATGCACACATGCATATATACATACATGTACACTCTTTTATGTACACACATATATAGTATATTAATATATGTATACAAATGTGTATACATATAAGGAATTCATGTGTACAGATACGAGAGAGAGAGAGAGAGAGAGAGAGAGGGAGAGAGAGAGAGAGAGAGAGAGAGAGAGAGAGAGAGAGAGAGATTACTTTACTCTGGGAAAATTTGGAGAAATATGGGTATCCATGTTAGTAAGTGGAATTCCTATTCAAATAATTGTTGCCCTCACCTATTTATAACCAAGGCAAAATTGAACTTTGATTCTTAACACTTTGAGGAAAACAATGAACACCTCAGAACAATTGGAGACTAGAGAATTTTTTCTTATGTGGGCTATTAAAGGATTTCAAAGTCAAAGGACTGAATAGCATTGTTAGATGCCCTTACAAGCATGTCAGAATAAAGGTGTCTCTCTAAAATACTGTATCTTTGTTTTTAGCCCCAATTATCCCCTACCTAATAGGAGATTTTTAAGGCACATGATCAGTACTTATAAAATAACTATATCCAGGATATATATTACCATAAACAAGAGTACATGTAATATATTTCAGATATGGACAGTAGCAAATACTATAATAATTAAAGTATGCCTATTACATATCATTTGACTATCATCCATATATCATTTCATATCTTCAGAATTAGATAAGCCAACAAAATATGTTAAAATAAAACAAATACACAGTTTCCTAGAGTAAATTAATCAATAATTATCTATCAAGAACTATAATGAACTAGATCCAATAACTTAGTTAACAAAAGCTTGAAATGTTAATAACAGACATTCATATGAGTCAGAAATAAAGAAGAGATATGATATGTATGAGGGAATTTCAAATATATAAGTATAAAAAAGAAAGAGGGAAGGAAAGAGACTCAGAGAGACTGAGAAAAAGACCAGGTGGTTCTATATCTAAGCAGGCAAGACCACAGTCTTTATTTGTAAATACTTTTCTATTTATATTTGTGACTAGATAAGACTCAATAGTCTTTGCTCAGTTTGAGTTCCAAAATAAACAATTGCAATATATGAACATTATTGATAAAGTGTCTTATTGATTTATGTTCAGTTTCACTCATAGGATTAATCCAGTTCTTATTTCTAGCCTATTAACAAGCTCATTATAAATATTGAAGTCTGTTCACTTTCTCCATCTAAAAATAAAAGAACATATTCGACTTCCTTCAGCAGATTATCTGATACTGAACAATTCTTCACTGTCGGGGGCCAAACCAAATTTAAAGTGGCGTCAGAGAAATTAATGAATTTGTTTCATGTATGAGTAGTTTTTCTTTACTAATTGCCCTATTGGCTTATTTTTTTTTAATTTTAACACTGAAATGAATTACTTGAAGAGACTTTTATGTTTTTGTTTTTTGTTGTTATTGTTATTGTTTTTTGGGAAAATTATTTTTTATCTCTGGAAAAGTCTTTAATAGTATTTCATTTAGTTTATTAGTAATTTATATATAACTGTTCTGTAAAACTGTCTGAGCAAGGCTGAAGTATGTACATCAGAGATAGAGTGCAAAAGTAACTTTTATTCACCTGATATAATTGTCCTCTCCGAGGCTTACTGCTGAATAAGCTCACCCTTTCTAGTTCTTTCTGAACTCTAGCTGGTTGGATCAAATCAGCTGTTCTGGCCCAAACCCCTCTCCAAGCTGACTTGTTCAAACTGCTTCTCTCAGCAGCTTCTGAATGAATGGATCTGCTTGGCCTCAAACTAACTCTGGCAATCTGTTCTAATCTTTTGACTCCTTGTTGTTCTCTGGCTTGTTCTATCTTTACCTACCACTTATCTCTGTAAAACTGTCTTCTTCCTCTCCCCCCTCCCTCTCCCCTTCCCCCTTCCCCTCCCCCTCCCCCTCCCTCTCCCCCTCCTTCTCCCCCTCTCCCTCCCCCTCCCCTCCTCCTCTGTCTCTTCATCCCTCTTCTTTTCCCCCACCCCTGCCCCTCCCTCTCCCTCTTGCTCTTCCTCTTCCTCTCCCTCTCCCCCTCCCTATCCCTCTTGCTCTTCCTCTCCCTCTCCCCCTCCTTCTCCCTCTCCCTCTCCCTCTCGCTCTCCCTCTCCCCCTCCCCCTTCTCTCTCTCTGTAAAATTTTTCTCTGATTTGTCACTTTGTCTGCCCTCAGTTAGATGTCAATTTCAAACTTCCTTCCACAAACTAACCTTATCCACATTGTTTGGGATTAAAGGTGTATACTAAGGGCATGGCTGTTTTTCAACCAGATCATACTATATTCCAGGATATGTTTTACATTCTGGCCAGATACTATCTTTGGATATGATCCCTTGACAGAGCAGTCATGTTGCTGGATTAAAATTTCTCTAAATAGAGTACTTGTTGTCATGTGTGAAGGCCTGAGTTCAGTACCTGGTTCTCCTCTCCCTAAATAATCATAAAATTTTCTGAGCATTGTGTGTTCAATGTAGGATACTATGTGACACTTATTCCTTTTTGGCTTGCTGTAGTAGGATTCTAATCCCTTTTGCTAAACTGAACAGCTTATTTCAGGTCACTGATAGGTCTATCCTGATTTTCACCTTATTTATTACCGCACAGCATTCTTATGCAACTACCCTCTGACGACTTAGAAATGGATCCTTTCCATTGACACTTACTGAATCATCCTTGATCCGTTTTTTATTTTAATTTTTTAATTGCATGTATGACTTTTAGGAATCATCTTCTAGTGAGTTCAATGTCAGTCTTCATTGTATTTCTGTTTTCAATGGATTAAACAGCTAAGGTTATAGTCTCATGTCTGTGTTAAAACCGTAATACCTAAAATTTATTCTGGAAACTATTTGGCATATAATACATATGCGTGTTGATACGGTAAAAATCTTATCACTGTTCAAGAATCTAATACACCATCAATAAATTATGTAAGATGTAGTTATATACACCCTCTTAAAAATATCAAATGATGATGTTTGGGTGTTGTAACTTTCAACGTAAAATGACCTATTAAAACCAACTGAATCTATTTAATTAATTTCTGATAATTTCACAGTTTTCAAGAAGCATCTGTAAGATGTAAGACTTTATAAAATATATGTATATAATATCACACGTTTAATAAACTCCTAAAATGAAGTTTTAATGTAAACTTACAAATCGCTTTTCATTTTCTTTGAACAAACTGAGAACCTTTCAGTTGGATGCTAGACATATTATTATACAATTGTTTTGATTTCAGGCTGGACAGCAACGTTGGTGGGAACAGGAGATTAAAATAAATGGGAATATTCAAAAGGGAGAACTAATTACATATAACTTGACTGAACTTATTAAACCAGAGGCCTATGAAGTCCGACTGACTCCTCTCACTAAATTTGGTGAAGGAGATTCAACAATTCGTGTAATTAAATATACGGGTAAGTAGTTTTTTTTTTTTTAAATTTACAAGTATTTATTTGTGCATGAAATTATGTAGAATATTTATTTTGACACTATCCACAAAGTAAAATTTAACATATTCTCCAAATCATCAGGAATGAGATAAAAACAGCCAAAAAATAACAGAAAAAAAATTAGTCATTGCAAAGTTAATGAGGTTACAAGGCTATAATGTAAAAACCCTTCAGTGAAAACTGAGCCCTTTGACCTGTCAAAAACACTTTTTTTGTTTGTTTTTGCTACCTTGATACAATATCAGTCTGTTACCTCTTCAAGATTTTTCTTTTTTCTTTCCTTTTCTTTTCCTTTCTTCCCTTCTTCTTCTTCTTCTTCTTCTTCTTCTTCTTCTTCTTCTTCTTCT